GTGTATAGCGTATTTACGTTAAACGATATGTAAAGTCGTTGGTAATAGGCGATACCCAAATTTTGTTAATTTGTATCATATTTCCTACTCCACGTTGGGCATTATACATAATACTTAGGCAAAGCTCGTATTATGTATATTTTCGAGTGATTTTTGGCATTTTATATAATGCCTAGGTATAAGTAACCTACGCTTTATCTAAGTTACTTGCCACTTTCCGTTTTTCATTACTTAAAGTTTAAATAATTATTTCTAATTATTTTATATTTTGATATCTGAATCTATGCATATATATTATATACTAACGTGCTATATATTTATGAATGCTTTACAAGCAATTTACATAGTAGTTATATTTTAATTTTGATTAACGTATTAATATTTTGTTTTAAACTTAATATCCGTAAAATTATATAGTTATACCTTCATATAATATATGTCAGAAGCGTAACCATACATGTTTTATTGATGGGGGGGGGGGGATTCCAATATTCAATAGTTATTTTTTTTATATTTAGTATTGTTATGCGATGCTCAAACCAGCGATCTACACATGCAATTGTTCAGGATAGAGTTGCTACGGACTGGCGTCCCGCGATAGACCTTGTTAGAGTATAATTAACATGTCATCCCCGTGTAACCATCTGGCCGGAAGACTATAGGGTAGGTACAGGTAATAACCAATATATGAGGGAGGCGGACTGTTAACTAATAGATATAGAAAAGGGTATAAAATAAAAAAGGGTACTAATACATTGAACCGAGTTCATCGTTTCGTGGAAATATTATAAATATAATGGGAACTTGTTAAAAAACTAACGGGCACAATGAGAGTATAAAATAATAATTCAAAACAACGCATATGATTATATATTCGTTAGTGCACTTGTAATAGTAATTTTGGATACAGCGTAGTAAGTATTCGGCCACTCAAGATGCGCACTCAGGAAAGTTGTATCGGAGGGAGGGCCGTTAGTATTTCCCGGAACGATAGCTGGTGGACACAGTATCCGTGATAACGATACTTGTATCGAGAGGATTAGGAGAAGTAGATGGTAGGCCTATATAGGAGAGCTCATATTCAGATGTATTTTGACCAGACGAGCCAGAGCATTTTCACACCAGTATGTTTCTTGACTTTATTATTTCGGACTTGGAATAATTTCAATCGGTGAATTATTTGCACTTAGAAAATAGTCGAGTCCCCGAATTCTCTGAACACTTAAAATAATCCTCTGAGGCAGAATAGCAATTTGTCAGTTTAAATTTCATATGTTTAATTGATTATTTCAATAAATTATACCACAAATCATCTGTTTACGAGTTTATTTGAAATATGTCTCATTCTTTTTCTCTAGACGACACCGGTAGTCGTCAGATCACTACACTTAATTAAGTCTTTAAGGGAAATATGGAATTAATTATAACAAGTTATATAGCCTGTATAAATCAAAACTTCTGTGTGTTGCAGTTAGGTGGTAAAACTGACGTCTTGCGCGTCATGTTATATTTGACTCTGCCAGTGATCCAGATATTTTGTTGTATAGTATTATTTAATTTAAGACAATTTAAATTGGTTAAAATAAAATAGTTGTTTATTGGATAAGAACACAAATTCAAAATGTAATAGTTTGAGAACTCAACGGCTGCATGTGGTAGGTGCCGTAGGTTTGTATAATGCATACGAAATTGCATATTATCTGTGGTTTCCCTTTTAAATTGTGTTCCCGTTCCTCTTTTCATAAACTAGAGGTCCTGTAATTAGGCCAAAGCCCTTGTTGTTGTTCTAGTGGTAAAAATGTTTATTTTTCGTAAAATGTGAATAGATTAAATATTATAGTCCTCAATGTGAAACACTTTGATTATATGGCCATATGGGACATTGGGACAATGTTTTTTGCGACAATATATTTTAATCTATTTTGTAGGTTAGGTTCGGTAGTTCGGATAAACCATAATTCAGTATGTAAAATTCTTTAATTATTTGACCACAGTTTTTATCAATTGGATTGGTCGGAATCAATTTAACTTTTTTTTGCAAACGACTTTTAATAAATCGTTCAAAGATATAGTATAATAATTAATAAGCAATTGAAACTATATACAACATCGGTCAAATCTTTACTATGAAGTACCTAAACATATATTATTTCTAATAAATTCTGAAAATCGATAGTCCGTAATAGTCCCGTGGGAGGTCTGCTGTATCATTGTAGGATCTAAAAAAAATATTAGATACTAGTAATAATTGAGAATTTTGAAATTACCGGTACCTGTGGCTGATATAAAATTAGGTATTTTTTTAGATGTATAAGTAAATTAACTACAAATTTGTATGTCATACATTTTTCCTTACTTAATTTATTAATACAATATACAATAATCAAAAGTAAGTAGGTATTGTGACCGACCCACAAATTTCACCACTTATTATTTGGAACATGTAAATACATTTGTTTCACAATAGGTATTAATTACGATCAGATTTATTATAATTTCACCAAAAAATTGATCTTGGTAAGACGTAGAACGGATCGTTTTACTATTTTAGTTATATGTTGTAGGTCATAAGTGGTTGGCCGGAGTATCGAGGTCCGAAAAGTACATTAGCATTTCCGGTGCTCAATTAATATACCTGCGAAAACAACTACATATTATTGTACAAGGATTATATTCAAAAAGTTGTTCATCAGAATTTTTAAGATTAATATTATAATTAAATTCCAAGAAGACCAATGTACCGAATAGTGCGACTCTCACACTGTTTTCCATGACATATAATATGTATATATATTCATAATTATTATGGAAACAACACTGATTTACGAAAAACAACTACAAAAGCATAGACCAAATTGCAGGTCCTCTGGTCTTGAAAAATAAAAACAGGGATACTATATTGTCGCGGGCTACAAAATCCTAAAAGATATACTACCTAGAAAATTATAAATTATGTAATATATTTTCAATACTCTTACACAGTGTTGGGATAAACTAGATAAAAATATCTATGTAAATAACTGTAATATCTTAATCTTACCTAAATACATTTAAGTATGGTAATATTGTGGTATCAACAAAAGTGTCAAAAGTCAAAACTGACAGTAGTGAAGGAAATAAATATTCTAATTTATTTTGATATTGGCAGTATGGTATCTACTATCTAGTGTACTATACAATATTTATTAAGTATTTTCAGATATAAATCAATGAAAATATTATTATGAATTTTGTATTTTTATATGAACAATTTAATTCTTCCTTTCCAAACACTGTGTTTGTGTAATAGGTATATGACTGTATTTATTACTTTGTAGTTTACTAATTACTGAAGTTGTTAACGTAATCTAACAGTGCCTAATTATAACCAGTTGACTCGAAGACGATTGAAATTATAATAACTTGACCTATATGAGTTCTACACATTTCATAGTTTTTACTTTTACATTAGTATGCCTGGTTAATTATGCGAAAATGAAAATAGAATTTATTGTTAAAAAAAATTATTATTTAAAATTTATTTATAACGTTAAGGTTAAGCAAAATGTAAAACAATTAAAAAAATTTAAATAATGCTTCAAAATACAATAGCATTTGAAAATATTAAGTATTAAAATTGTATAACCTTTAAATTACTCAAAAATGTAAAAATTACATATTTTATTTTTAATTTAAGCCCTGTTTTTCCTTCATTTTTTTTTCGAGACTTATGAGTTCATTATTGTGTGTACCTACTATTAAATTTTTATTTTTATTTATATTCAATAAGTAACTGTAATTTGTCAACTCTTGAAAATTGTCTTAAATTGATTAAATCATTATACCATACAACGTAATATTTAGATCACCGGCAGAACCACAATCAAATTTGTTTGTCAATTGAATTTAAGACTTTTATTTGCTTTAATTCGCTTAGAATATCGTATGAAATAAAATATGACAGATAAGCGATCGCAATCGTGCTGTATATGTAAAGGTACGTTCGAAATCGTGTATCCATCACCGAAAGGTACAAAATAATCGTCTACGTAGTCGTCGTGATAATATGACAAGACAAACGTCATACTCGGGTTCGACTCGACTTTTCATTTTCATGACTGTTTATTTTCCCAAACGTTTTAATACACCCGTGAGAGTTATTGTATAGTGCCCAAAGTGGGTCGATAAAACAAAAAATTACAAAAATACAAAAATGCGCTTAAGACAATAGAAAAAAAGAATTATGGCACGCGACATATGTTTCTGCATACTGCGGGTAAGTAGATCATTATAATATCATAGTTTTTAACAATAAAAATATCATGTACAGACCGTATCGCACGTGTTTGGCGACGGTTGTACCTGAACACGTATACTGGGTGATCCATTTAACGCAAGACATTCCATTTTTCTAATACACATTAGATTATTTTTTTACTTTTTACAATGCTTATTTTTAATTCCTTATTCTAAAGCAGAATACTCATCGGTGTTACTATGACTGTATAAAAATTGAAATTTGGATGAGTTGTATATAAGTCATACGTCCTTATTTAAAGCTTTGATGGGCGGAGTGGTACTGGAATACATCACAAAATGTTGGTCCATTACTCCGCCTATCTGAACTTTAAATAATTATAACTTTAGGGCATAAACAAATATATTTTAGAAATTTGATTTTATAGTTCATAAGGATCCATATGGATCTATGTAGATGCAAATACTCAAAATAATATTCTGCTTCAGAATATTAAATCAAATATATATTTCGCCATTCAAAAGAGTAAGAAACTTAAATGTAACAATAACAATACAAAATAGCGAAAAATATAATTTTTTTTCAAAGATGTTGTTTTAATATGACTTTAAAATTATGCAGAGAAATAATTTCAAAAACGTTAGTGTTTTCTGAAATAATGAGTGTCTTACGTTAAAAGGACCACCCCGTATATATTATATGATGATATAATTGTTCACTTCTGTTGATAATAATGATGGCAGCATAAACGCGACGGCCTTTGCGTACCTACGTGTTCTTTTGCGAGTCCGTTTCCTAGTCTCGTCGCGGAGATTCCTGTGCAGCCGGTGTGACATTCGTCCGTAGTACAATATTAAATTTATTACCACACACCGGGTAGGTGTTTAGCCTATCAACGACCTCATAAGTCCGTACACGGAACCGAGTCGCCGATATTTCGTGTTGACAGTATAAGTTCGTTGTTGTAAATTAAATGCGCCAAAAACATAATTTTCTTTCACCTTTATTACTATTATAAATATTGTCATACGGGTATAATAATAATAATTCGTTGAGGAGTACTCGAGCATCTGTTCAATGGCCGAGATCAAGTACAAATTCGAAGCCGTGATGATCGTCTCTGGCGTGTTTATGTTGCTGACCATGTACGAACTGCCGGTCGCCAGTTACTTCAAAGTAATAATACAAACAAATAACAATTTACTATATTACAGTCTGAACAAATAAAAAAGAAATATCAGTGAACATCAGAGGCTATACGCGGGGCGTAGGCTACCACATAGGCACATTTAGTGGCATTTTTCTGGGAGGGAGGGGGGCTAAAATTGTATCACAGAAACCGATAATTAATATTTTTAAGTGTTTATTAATTTATTGTTAATTAATATTTTCTGACTAAAAAACCGGGGGAGGGCTAAAGCTTAATCCAATGAACGTAATATTGTGCAAGTTTTTTTGGTAATAAACTAATAAAGGTAGGTACATTGTGTATTATATTTTTTAGCAGTTAAGTGCTTTGATATTCTTTACAATATAAAACATGTTATACACTGCTTCGTAGAACCACATAGTCCAACAGACAAATAATTGGGAAATGAATGTACGACAATAAATTATGTTTGAAGGGATAGATGTTTTAGGGGTAAATCTATCATTATTCAATAAACGTCTAAAATTGTTTTAGGTATATTATTTAATATACGCAGTACTCGAATTGAGATAGGGGGATAGAAAATGTAAAAAATGTGCATACCTGAAATATTTAAACATTGCATCGATCTCCGGGTACAGACTACAGAGTCCCTTCCATAGATGGACAATTGGACGAGGATGATGTTAAGTTCTATTAAATATACATGGACTGAATTATGCGTATGCGTCTCATTGTATAACTGTAAAGCGTTATTATTAAACTGTTGAATTACAAATATTTATGTATGTCATAGAATACAAGTAGTCGAGTCACAAAATTCTTCTAATTACAAAATATTGCTGATCAAACATTTTCTAAGTACAAAATATTAATTCAAAACTCTGGAATGAAAGTTCTCGCTATACATTTGTATAATCACGTCTGAAATATGTGTTTACCTATGTATTCTATTTTCGTGGTCTGACGACTACAGGTGTCGTCGAAAAGAATAGGATGAGGTGTATTTTGATTTAATTCGTAACGCTGATGTAATGTGGTATAATTTATTAATATTGAATAAAACAAATGTAATTTTAAACTGTTGATTTTGTATTCTGTACTAGAATATTTGTCGCAGAGAATTATTCTGTGTTCAGGAAATATCGGTTTGTGTCGAACATTTTCTAAGTCCAAATAATTAACTGTTCGAAATATTATTCCAAGTCCAAAATAATATAATAAAAGACTTACTGGAGTGAAGGTGCTCTAGCTCGTCTGGTAAAATCTCATCTGAAAATGGGCTGTTCGGGGGTCTCCTATATAACCTACCCTTTTACTTCTCTTAGCCCTCTTGATACGAGTATCGTTCTCACGGATGCCGTGTCCGCCGGCTATCGTTCCGGGAAATACTAACGGCCCACACCACGATACGACTTTCCCGAGTGCGCATCCTGGCCGTCGCAATGTGTATAGTCGAATATCAATTATGTGGTATTCGAGATGATAATGCTCCAATGAATTATTAATCATAAGCGTGGCTAAGTATTAGGTATTACAGTATTTCCAAGAAACAATAGACTCGGTTAAAATATACTAACCAATAATTGCTTATAATCTTTAAATGCGTCGCATCCTTCATATATTGTGTATAACCTGTACCTGGTCTATACGACTGTTGTTCACTCGTAATTACCTTAACGACGCGGTACGCCAGTCCATAGAAGTATGATATAACATAAATAATTAGTTTTTCGTATCTTTTCGATTAAAACTATTTATTAAATAGTCGTGGTAGAATACACAATACTTGTTTATAATATAAATCAATAGTCAAATTCACCTCATGACTTACATGACTTGTATCTACCTATAATAGTTATAATATCTTTTTTTTTGGTATCTATGTGAATAATATGGTTACGGGGCTATAAATTCGACGAATTCTTAAAAGTAATTAAAATGAGTAGCTAAATTAACAACATGCTGTTGACGTATTTTATTAGTGGTTTGACATGCCCAATATAATATCAACTATAATCCGAGTACCGCCCTAAAAACTATTATAATTATGTCACGAATATCGGTTTCTGAAAAAACTATACTGGTTAATATTAACGATAGCCAAAACAACAATATTGAACGGCATAAGAGATTAACATTTTTTACTTAAATCACTTTTTGTGTGCAACTAAGTTTTGAATTTTCAAGATAGCCAATTTCTTGATTATATTTTGAAAAAAAAAAAAATATATATATATGAAATTGAATGAAAATTTTCAAAAAATTCCAAGTTAAAGTAAATTAAGTTGTTGACTTCGTAAGGATAATAGTTATATTACTTTATTAACAAGACACGATAACCATATATTAATTTAATGCACTTTGGGTATTTTTTTTAATGACAATCTTCTCTGTGCCTTATTTGTTTTACATTAAAATAATTATTTATGCGCTCTCAGTACATTGACACCTCAAAATGTTACTGCCTAAATAATGCAAGTTGTAGACAAGCCAAAAAGCTATTTAATTGAGTATCTAGATCGTCAGATTGCATCGAACAATGTTATGTTAACGGATTGATGTCTCGATTTTTGTAAGCCTTTAAAATCGCACGGTAAAAATCTTATACTATTGCTACGGATTGTTGTGCCGCGTTAGACCTTGGTAGAGATGATGACGGGGTAATGCTAACGTCACGCATTAAGGTTACAAACAATATAGTATGAGGGATACGATGCGTTTAAAGATGATAAGCATGATTCCAAGTAAATAAAAGGGTTAGTTTAACCGAGTCTCTTGTTTCTTGTAAATACTATAATAATACTTAATAATACAAAATCACTTATATGGCTAATAATTCGTTAGTGCCTAGTAATCTCGAATACCACATGATTGATATTCGACTATACACATAGCGACGCCCAGGATGCGCACTCAGGAAAGTCGTATCGTGGTGTGGGCCGTTAGTATTTCCCCGAACGATAGTCGGCGGACACAGCATCCATGGGAACAATACTCGCATCAAGAGGGCTAAGAGAAGTAGAGGGTAGGCCTATATAGGATACCCCCAAACAGCCCATATTCAGATGTGATTTGACCAGAAGAGCCTGAGCACCTTCATGCCAGCCAGTCTTTTAATTGTATTATTTTGGACTTATAATAATTTTCAAGCAGTTAATTATTTGGAATTAAAAAATATTTGATTCAAACCGATATTTTCTGAAATCTCTGAATAATTCTCTGCGACGAATATTCTAGCACTGATTATCCAATCCACAGTTAAAATTACACTTATTTTTATTAAATAATAATAAACTATACTACATCATACATCAGCTTTGCAAAATTAAATCAATTACACCTCTTCCTTTTCCTCTCAACGATACCTGTAGTCGCCAGACCACTACACTACATAAATTAGTTATTACATTGTTGCAAATTAATACATTTTTGCAAAGTTTCTCTAATAATTAAATATTTACAGCTTATCAACAAACAAAATTCTAAGTTTCAAAGTATCGTTGATTGAAATTATTATAATTATAAATTTATGTCCAAATATTTCAAAAGTTCGATAATTGTGAAGGTGCTCGCTCTAGCTTTGTAAAAATCACGTCTTAATAATATGGGCTCTCCTATATATGTCTATCGGCTGCAGATCACTTTGTGAAAATGTAGACGCTGACATATCGTATTATAACTTGTAAGCCATAATGGTTACACTAATTGTTTGCCCTTCAATCAAGATCATATTTTAATGACTGTTGGTCTCAATAATTGAACGAATTGTCATCAGCCCGAGGTAATCGTAAAACCATAATCATAAAGTTCAGTGTATATGTGGGTGAGGCATGAGCAGAATTTTGAATTGTAAGTTCAATGAAAACTTTCAACCAGGTTTGTTGTTCTAAAAAATAACTTTCATACCGCTTTGACCAACAACCGATGTGGATTACCAGGGAAAATAATCTCCATGCATTGCGATTAAAATATTCCTCCGATACGACTCGTCGACCACAATAATTTACGAATAGAGATAGAATAAATTGGCAACATTGCATTATTTTGACTGTTTCACAATCGAGTCTTTCAAAAATAGTGACCGTGCTCAATTGGGTCCACCGTTTTGTGGAGAAATGCAGATCATAGAAGTTAGTAACTTGGTACAATAATATGCCAACATACTATACATATATATGTATATTATATATGGTCAAGTATAGGTATAATATAAAAAGTTTGAAATCAAGACCAATTATAAATTTTATGAAGATTAATTATCATTTGGTTTGTCTAATTTGGAAGTATATTAATTTTTTAAATTCTAAATGTTGGTTTATTTTTTAATTTGAACTTAAAATATTATGACTCTCCATACGTAAAAATCTCATTTTCATCTATCTTTAGTCAATAAAATATGCACTTCAGTGATTATGATTTTTTTTATTAATTTTAATTTAATTTTATACTGAATGCTGTCCTTTGGCCTCCCTTATAAGTTATGTCCCATTCCATTGTCAAGGGCTGATCCAAAAACCACATACACTTATGATTTAGAACTGAAAAAGGTCAAAAGACAAAAACAGCTCACCTTAACGGTTCGTTATATATGGCAAAGCAGCAAAATAACGTACATTACTTTTAGTTCCGAATAACAGAATACATACGGTGATAAGATACTGTAAAATAAATTGTAACACGTTTTCAGTCTTCAGTTTTCTCTCGCTATTAGTCTGCCTCGTGTATAATGTTATGAAATATATATTATAATTTATTATAGAATATGATTAAAACCTATGCGATTTTAGAGTTTTAATTTGAATATTTTAAATTATAACTAACTAGGTAGTATTATTATTTAAACTATTTACAACAATAAAGGGAGTAAGTGTTTAATAGAGAGGTACTTGATACGATTGTAAGAACATATTTTTTAGAGTGAATAATAGTGGAAATGTTGGAAAGAATGTTTAAAAAGAATTGAACATTATACATTTACATTTTCATACTTTTTTTTAATCAAAAAACGGATTTAATGGTTTTA